TCAGCAACTGAAAGCAAAATCGACTGGCTATTACTTACCATTTAACTTTCTAACCCACCCCAAGGCTTATCAACAGGATGATCATCAGAGACAACAGACAAAAGCAGAAAAGCCCAGGGTCAGATGGGCTTACTCCTTCAAACCCTTTTCTACCCCCTTGCACGCCCTCGTGTACCTGCCTTTGGACGAACAAAGGGCAGAAGGAAACTAAAGAGAAGTGTTTTGTTTCCCCAACCCAACCAGAAGCAGAAGAATGATCGATCGAAGATTTAACTGTGGCGCTGTCTCCCCCCAGCCCTGGCCCCCATTCAGCTTTTCCTGCGAGTATCAAGAGGTGCATTCTCTGTGCTGGCCCTCCTGTTCTCTGTCCAGATTCCTGTAACACAGCAGTTCTCAACCTGTGGGTCGTGACTCTTTCACAGGGGTCGCCTGATTCATCACAGTACCAAAACAACAGTTATGAAGTAGCAACAAAAATAATTGTATGGCTGGGGTCACCACACCATGAAGAACCATATGAAAGGGTCGCGTGCGGCATTAGGACAACTGAGAACCATGGCTGTGACAGGTGGCTGGCCCTGCTAAAATCCTTCCTCCTCCTCCTTCTTTAAGGCACCTGAACGTGATTGGGGGAAGAATATGCCACAGAAAACGTCTCTGTAGCCATTCGCTGACCACAGACATGTTACGTGTTTTGTTTGGAATAAACCCATCCAGTCCAGCAATAATTTTTCACTTAGCCTCATATATGTCTCTAGTTCTTTTACTCTTAGTTTATGCCTAAGGTCCCATGTGTCGGCCACTGAGCCTTTAATGTCACCTGCTCTGAAACTCTGACAACAAGGTCCCTTTCCAAACACGCTTTGCATCAAGGCTCCTGCAAGGTCCTAGTGCTTATCTGGTGATAGATGCGTTTGTCTGGTTACAGGTTCCCAGTCTGAATGTGAACTTTTCCCATTAGATCAAGGTCTACAAGCAAGTAACTGCCAGGAAATACAGAAAAGAGTACTGTGCACCCCCCCAATCATTACAGATTTCTCTGTCCTGGAATAATGTCCCTCAAAAATTCACGCCCCCCTGGAATTTATGAATGCGGCTTTTCTTGGAAACGGCCTTGGCAGATGTGATCAAGTTCAAAAGAGGTCAGGCTGGATTAGGATGAGCCCCAAATCCATCAGGAATGGCGTCCTTCTAAGAAGAGGTGGAGGTGGATACAGACCCACTTGGAGAACATCATGTGGTAATAGAGGCAGAGATTGCAATTCCTATTGCAAGCCAAGGGGCATCTAAGATTGGGGCAACTACAAAAAGAGTTAGGAAGGACCCAAGACCACCCACCTCAAGCCCAAGAAAGGACCAACCCTAAGCCCCAGGGAGCAACGAACCTTATCAACCACTTGATAGAAGGTTTCCCAGCTTCCTACACTGCGAAGTAGATTTCTGTTGTCTTAAGTCACCTGGTTTGGTGAAATTGCTTTTGGCAGCCTTAGAACACTAATCCACCAGCGAGAGCCCAGACTTCCAAGTAGTGCAGCCTTTCTAAGTCGGAGTGCTGGACCTGGCTTTTCTTACAGAATTAGATGCACCCGCTCCAGGCTAGCAAAAACAGATGCCCCAGCCGCCGGGCTCCATTGCCTCCACCAAGTTGTTGAATTGGTTTGAATCACCATCAAGACTTCAAGAGAACTGCATACGGTAAATTAAGTTCCTTATTCATTTTAATGACAGTTTCTCCATTAAAAGGGGGTTAAAATAAGGCATTTCAGGCACCCCTGCATCCTAATGTGATCATTAGAGACAGATTGGTGAGCCTAACTGCTTAGGTGGGAGGTAGATGAATACTGTGTTCAGTTGCCTGTCCAGTTACTGAGCGTGTTTGAAATAAAATGAGCCTCAGACAGCAGCATCTGTAGGCAAAGCTTCCAAAGCCAACCTGTTCCCCAGACGGGAGAATGTAGTGCTACCGAAGATGAAATGCTGCATGACCACAAAGGAACTTTTTATTCAAAAAAGGGGAGTGGGCGAAGGAAGAACACAGCGCCAGGGTCAGACAGCAAAGAGGCTAAGCAAGAGCAATCGGTATGGATACTCAGTGCTCAGAGGGTAATCTGGACCTCCCGGCCCATTGAACATCCACACAAAATACTAACAGAGTCTCACTGTAATGAGCTTTTTATTTCCATCACCTCAGGCTGCCACGCCGTAGGCATAGCCATTATGTTTTTATTGGTGGGCTACCATCAACCTCAAGAGCCCTCAGACTCTAAACAAATGCATTTTTCTGGCTACATTTCCAGCACCACCATACGCTTACTCCATTAGCGGGAAATTCTGGAACTCTCTTTAGCTGCAGGCAACTAAGATGTTTGGATGCAGAAAGCAATTATAGATTTTGTTGGGGTTTTTTTTTTTTTCCTCTCCCAATGTATAACATGGATTTACCAGATACATGCAGAATGTTTTCAAACGTAAGTGACTGCGTCACATGGGATATATCACTTTTAAAGGTATCAAGACCACAAGGAAATAAAATAGCCATTATCACACCTCATGTGCCCCCGATTCTCCAACTTTTGGCCAGGTTCCATGGTGGGGGGGCCATGGGAGTGGAAGAAACAAAATAACGGAGGGGCTCAACAGGGATAGGGAGAGACCCCATGAAGCAACTAACTCCGTCATGCCACGTCATGTCAAGAAAGGTCTTCAAAATCTTGTGCGGGAAAGGAATGAAAAGATAATGGAATTTACCTCCCAAACTTCTGGAAGCCCCCGCATGTGTGGCATAATATCCCATGCCGATTGGTCTCCTCTCCTACCAAACAATTCTCCTTCCAATCGGTCACCACATCCGAAATGGCACCAGTAGTTTTTGTCCTTCCAAAGGCTCACTGCTCGGGAGTCCATTCCCACTGAGGGCAAGCCCTGGTATTACAACGTGGAGCTGCGCTCAGTGGGCCTTCCCCAGCTGCACCGTCACCTAGCAGCAAATCACCAAGTTTTCTTCGGAGGAGCTGCTCAGTGGATTTGAACTGGCAAGCTCGCGTGGAGTACCCAGCACAAGCCACTTGTGCCACCCCAGGGAAAGACATCAGGGGACTAACAGAAAGCACCAAAGGAAATGGAAGATTTGCTAGAGAACAGTCTGGAAGTGAGTTTCGTTTTAGGAAGAGGAAAATCGTCCTGCTCAGAATTACAGTCAGGGTGTAATTGGGTGTCAGGGACTAGAAGTTACCACGCAGGGAGAGAGACCGTGGAGAGCGATAAAAAGGCTCCAGACCTGACCCTAAACTTGTGCCCAATTTCACAGATGTTGACGTGCCCGGCATCTCACGGGAGCGCTCCTTTCCCTTTGCAGACCGGGCAGGAAGAGGACGCGTGGAGAAGCAGGTTTGGGTGCCTCCCCGCTGTGCCTGTGTGACATACACCCATTCTCCCCTGGACTGGAGCTGGCCGCAGCAATGTTTCTGTTGAGGTTGTTATCAAGGGCACTGATGACACAGCTGGGGAAATTTAAGAATGTAGGTAGACTCAGAAACAGGGCTGTACTCGTGTCCCCATCTAATGATTCTGATCGAGCTGCCGTTATATCAAAATGCATCCCAAACGTTAAGGAAATAAGCCCTGCAGTTTTTAAAAGGGATGGAGCACCATTTCTGCCACTGACTCTCAAATTGGTTAAAAAGTGTAATATGTATGAGAGAGAAGAAACCAGGGACACAAATATGAAATCTTCCCATTTGGGGAAAGCAGTTGTAAGTATTTGGGAAAGTTTCATAGTAGGCTTGCAACTGCTCTTGATGTCTGAAACGTTAGTAAAATATAATAACTGAAAGGTGAGGGTAGACATCGACATCCCTGGTCTCAGTTTAAGGACTCGCTGGGCAGCCTGCTCTGGACTGAACAAAATGCCACTAGCAGAAGGAGGTCAATGCTACAGTGGGAAGGGGGTGCCTCTAGCCTGGCTCCGGTCATTTAGCTCCAGGGTCCTGGGTAAACCATTTAATCATCAGCACCTGACAAATGGGTGCAATACTAACTACTCGGTAAAGGTACCCCGAAAACATGATGAACATTGGGGTAAGACTGGCACTTGAGAAATGATGGCGAGTATCACAGGAAGAAACTCAAATGGCCTCAACATAATCTACTCTGGACAAGCAACTGTGGCCTGTAATCTTCAGTGGCATGGAAGGAAAGGGCGCTCAAGGAGAACATGAAATACAAAGCCGACATGTCCCTAGCATCCTTTTAGTCACCTATGGTGCTCAATTCCCTGTTAATTAAATGACCTCTGGGCAATAAAGCTTGATGAGGCTTCTGTTATTCTGTTAATTGTGATACTTAATAATTCTGTGACATAGAAACCTCACCTTTCTTATAAGATTTATTCTGCACTAACATCTTTAGCTGCGTCTGGATTAAACCCACCTCTAAAACGTTGAGACAGCTTCAGGGAGTGTATTATCACCTCTAATGTATTCATAAACCAGGGATGCTTCTTGAATGTATCCCAGAGAAATCCTCACATGATCCAAGAGGGGCCATGCACGAGGATGCTCACTGCAATGAGGTCAGTGGGCTGAAAGCTGAGGACATGGTGGGAAGTCTGCCATCAGAGAGCGGGCACCAACAGCATGGGGGCCCCAAGCCGCAGATTCAGCCCGGTTACAGGTAGCGAGCCACATGCCTCCTAGCGATGGGTCTTACACATAGAACAAAGGAACAATGCACAGAGATCTACTACTTGATGGCAGCCAGTCTGAAATGAGTCTCGTGGTAGTCACGAGAAGGTGTCAGTGACCTGTCTAATAAGATGCTAACTATCGAGTGGGAAGAAAAAACCATTTGCCAGAGTGGGAAGGAAGTCGATGACAAGACCCTGGGATAAAAGAATACGCAGACGGATAGTGAATGAAGGATCAAACAGACACACAAAGAAGGACAGAAACACAGACACACATCAGGGCTCACTCCAAACACCAGTCCACTGGAAGTCTTACCGGAGGCCCCTGGCTTCTGGCTGGGCTGGCCCACCTGGTGCACACTCTGCTGTAGTAAGTTGAGGCACTCCCCAAGGCAGCTGAGGGTGGCAGCGGAGGTAGCTTTCAAGAGCAGCAGATCCTGGTCCAAGGCAGTGAGGGGACCTGAACCTGGGAGGGACTCGATGGCGTGCACGAGGCTCTTCTGCTGTCCTTCCACCTGGCTCATCATCTGCAAGACAAGACCGTGAGGAAGCAAGCGTTAGAAGTCGTTCACTCAACAGCCTCGGGACTCGGTGCTTAAACCATGGAATTGGAGGACAGTGAGGAGAGAGACCATCATCACCCAGGTGTGAGCCCAGAGTCAGTTCAGAGGGCAACACACAGAAGGAGTGAACTCTGTCTAGGTAAATCTCTCCAAACAGCTACCTGTCAATTGCGCACACCCACAACACGAATCCCGAGAGAATTTTGGAACTGAGAGCGGAAAGGCACCAGCAGGACTGATGGTATGATTTTAGAGCTTCGGAAAGTATATCAGCGATAGATACATGAAAGATAGATACAGAAATCCTTGTGACCATCTTTGAGGTTCTTTTACTACAGAAGGCTGTCGGAGTCAGCGGGGCACCAGAGGCACATCCTACAGCAAAGGTGGTGCTTCTTCGCTTTCCCTCTGGCGCCAATTCTCAACTCCTTGGCGGTGCTCTTTTAAGTCCAAGACACGAATGAACTCTCAGGCTGGCCATGATGCCCATGAAAATCACAGGGAAACCAGTGCAGCATCAGCCCACCCCAAACGCCAAGTATCTCCCCACTGAGGATCGAAGTCTCTCAACACTCTAGAAGATGTCAGAGGGGAGGAGAAAACCAAACCGAACAACAAAGAGCCAAACAGGGATTTAGCCCTGGTCGCGACTTGAGCAAAAGAGAGCCAAGATAAGCGTATTTTGTGGCGAACTTCAATTACAGCTACCAGCATTTGCCACGGGCAAGCAATAGCCGAACTGCAGTCTTTCATTTTGCAAATCCAGAGAGAAAGGTACAGAGCTAGAAATCGATTTTAAATGGTTATCTTGTCAAGTTCAACACTCCCGCCCCCTTTCACAACTGATCTCATTAAACAGGAGGATGCCCGTGAAGCCTTTGCAAGCTTTGCAACTAACAATGGCTTCAGGAGGAGTGGGGTAGCTGAAGCAAGAAAGCTGGCCCAGGCCGAGGTGCTGGCTAGCATCCAAGCAAGATCAAAAGCCCCTAGTCTGGACTCCAGCCCAACATCCTCCAGGTTCCTCCCATAATAGCCACCCTTAATGTGAAGTCAGTCTCCTGCATTGGCATGGTCACCCCCTGGGTGCTGTTACCACTATGGTGATGTCAGCTGGGGAGACCTGGGACTCCATGTTTCTGACTTGGACACAAAACTCACCTTCCCTCTAAAAGCAAATACCTATTTGCCATTGTACGCTAGAGCGGTCTGCTTAAAAACATCCTCCCTTGAAACTTCCCGAGACAGATGCTGTTACTTCAAAATGACTTTCAAGTTCAATGTTCACAGACATGGGCTCGCAGAGTTCTTACCGTAAGTACCCACACCACGCGTCTAAATGAGTGCCTGGTCCACAAGAGGGGTCCCATCAGCACCCATTTCTCCTTCAGGTCTGTGCTTAACAGTTGTCTTTCTTGGGAAAAGTCTCCCCAACCACCTCTTTGACAGTTTGCATCTCCGGTCGATCCCTGGCGTCTGGAATCTCTCGGAGCCAGCCTCCTGGTTCTCCACAGACTTACCACCTTCCAACACACCTTGACATCATCTCCTGACGCTCACTGCCGTGCCTGTGGAAGTTGCACAAGGGCGGGGGTCGGCCCCTGAGTAGCCTCACTGATGGCACCCAAGCACCGGCAATATTTGTTGAATGAATGAATGAATAAATCCCCAGGATTACCATTCTCTCACTGAAAGCGCGAGAGAGCCCACTCGGGACGCAGATCCCACAGAAGCCCCCCTGACCAAATGGATCCGGGATGAGCACAGCGGGGCTGGAGACGCAGTAAGTGAGGAAGCCCACCCCCATCAGTTTGTGTGTCAGGAGACACAGCCAGCCGGTTACATTCAGCCTCAAGCAAACGAAAGCGCTCCTATACGCGTTGGCAGTCAACTCTAAGCAGAGCTGCGAACGGGGTGGATTCCAAGCTCTGTATCGGAGTCAGCATTTCTGTAAAATCCAACCCTACAACCCTGTCTTACAAAAATGAGACATTGAAAGGGAAAAATATACAAGGGTGAGAAGTGTGATCCATTATCTTTTCTACAATTAAGGATGATATTAGGACGCCTAAGAAAAGATGAATAAAGTCAGGTTATTACCTAGATGGAATGTATTTGCGTTTCAGTCAACAGAAATAACTAACTGTATCCCAGTTACATAAAGTAGGATAAAAACATGCTTTCGGAAAAGAGTGTGTAACTCTTAGGTACAGAATCTTCCACTCTATTACGAGAGAGGTGTGTGCCCAGAGATGGAACCCCTACATCTGCTCTGGGAAAACAATTCCACAGCCTTCACTGAGCACCCAAGGGCAATGCGAGGAGCAGAACTGTGTTTAGAGGAAACATTTGGAAATGAAAGAAGAGTGGGCTTGGCAGTGACCATGAGTGGAGGGGCGACTGGCATTTGCCGGGAAGACACTGACATCATTGCCCTGAGCTGCCACCCTCTTAGATCCCATGGGATTTTTTAAATCGTTTTATTACAACTCCTATCACAATCCATACATACATCAATTGTGTAAAGCACATTTGTACATTCATTGCCCTCATCCTTCTCAAAACATTTGCTCTCCACATAAGCCCCTGGCATCAGCTCCTCATTTTTCCCCTCCCTCCCCACTCCTCCCTCCCTCCCTCATGAACCCTTGATAATTTATAAATTATTATTTTGTCATATCTTGCCCTGTCCAACGTCTCCTTTCACCCACTTTTCTGTTGTCCGTCCCCCAGGGAGGAGGTCACATATAGATCCTTGTAATCGGTTCCCTCTTTCCAACCCACTCTCCCTCTACCCTCCCAGTATCGCCATTCACACCACTGGTCCTAAAGGGATCATCCGCCCTGGATTCCCTGTGTTTCCAGTTCCTATCTGTACCAGTGTACATCCTCTGGTCTAGCCAGACTTGCAAGGTCGAATTCGGTTAGATCCCATGTTTTGCAGAGTAGAATAACCCCACAACGTTTCCAGTTTCCCTTCGGGTGCACTGTTGTTGCAAATATACACAGTAAAACATACACCGATCCCTCAGTTTCTGTGTGTGTAATTCAACGACACCAATCGCCACCATGCTCATCAGCCCTTTCTGAATCATTCCCTCATTAACAAATTCCACTGGACAGCTGTGAGAGAACTGCTTAAGGCCAAAGGTTCCCACCGAATCTTTCCACTTGCTGCTGTCAATTTGTTCCCATACGGTAGATCTGCAAAGAGCAGAATGCTCAAGGCTGGCACTTTTTACTACAGTGGTTCTCAACCTGTGGGTCGTGACCCCTTGAGGAGTTGAACGACCTATAATAGCAGCAAAATTACAGTTATGGAGTAGCAACGAAAATAATTTTCTGGCTGGGGGTCACCACAACATGAACTGTATGAAAGGGTCCCAGCATTAGGAAGATTGAGAACCACCGTTTTACTAGTTACGCTGGTTTTCCAATTCATCTTTTTATAGATCTACAATTGCAATAATCCTCCGTGCCACCCTATTGGTGATAGGATTGTTCCATCACAGTTAACTGCGCCCCCAACCCTGTTCTTTTCCCTTCTCTATCTGCCGTACCACTTTTACAAATTCAGATTTTGCAGGTTACCACTTACAATCATCAGCTGTTAATACCTTATTAACAAGGTATTTCTGTCACCATAATCTAACCTCAGTGTTCCATAAACAACCATCCTCCCCGTCACCCCTTCCCCCTCCCATAAGCTTCGGTCTCGACACCTTACCTTTTTATGCTTTTTGTGATAGCCTGTTGTTAATCAAAACACTAGACATGTAACATGTTTAAAATTTAGTCTGTTAAGATTTAGTTTGTTAACAATTAAAAATGTAACTTCCCCCCTACTACAAACCCATTTGCTCTGATGATTTGCTCAGCATATAGACTGAATAAGGATGGTGAGAGGATGCAACCCTGGCACACACCTTTCCTGCTTTGGACATGAACTCCTTGGGGAGCGAGGAGGGATGTTAAATGCCGTGCAGGTTAGGGCACAGCCCTACGCAACAGCAACAACAAACAGCCCTTGCCTAAAACCCCTTGGGTTACCCTATGCTGGAAACACTGCAACCTCATGCACCTCTGGTATCTCCTGCATTCACAAATTGCCTGATAAACTTCACACTGAAATAGAAGGTGTTTGGTGCCAGTGGCTGGAGCACAGTGGACAGCTCATCGAGATTCTTCCTCTATTTGTCTGCATCATTCAAAACGTAACTCCTGCCTTTTAGATCACAAATCGATGCCAATCTGACCTTCACACTTACTGAACTAAGTCCAAAAGAAATCAAGTGAATTCTGAAAGAAATGTAGGCTTCCCACCCCTGGAGGTGTTTAGCGTGGTTCTTAGTCTTTCAACATTCGATGAGGACGCACTGACGAAGGGTCTTCACCAGGGACGGAAGGCAAAGTTTCAACTGTCTCCATCTCTGGATGTTTAGGGACACTGAATAAGGAAGAAGAAAGAGGAACGATCCGGCGGTGCCAGTGAAGAACAGTGTGCGTCCCATGGACTGCCAAGCACAAACAGGTCTCTCTTGGAAGGAAGACAGTCAACAAGCTCCTTAGGACCACCGATGGCTTTGGACATGTCATCAGGAGAGACCAATTCATGGAGAAGGACATCATGCGTGGGAAGGTGGAGGGGAGCCCCAAAGAGAAAGGATAAACCCCGTGGCAGCACAGTAGGCCCCCCACAAGAACAACTGTGAGAACGGCGCAGGGCCAGGCGATGCTCCCTGCTGTTGTGCGCAGGCTCACTGTGAGTCAGAACCGACTCCAGGGTCCCTAACAATAGTGTTTCATGAAAGACACCTATGAGCGTACGAACGTGGTCCCCAAAGTCTGTCTGCACCAGAAAACTCCAATTCCAAATTCTTAAAGCACTCCCTTCACGCCTTCAAGTTTCCAAGAAGGCTTATCAACTCAAGAGCAAAGGGCAGCCCTGAGGGAATGCACCCAGCCAC